TTATAACTCCCTTGTTTTTCTACCAAACAGGATGGGATTTAGAACATCGATAAATAAAAGGGACTCCTACAAGAAGATGTAGTCATTATGTACGTGCTTGCACGTTAAATGAGTAAAATTAAAAATACACTCGAATGAGTGAATTTTTTAATACTTTTGGATTAAATGCTTTGATATTAAGTATATCAAAATTTGAGATAGTGTAGACAAGATAATATGGTTGTTATGCACATGAACACGCGTGCAATGCCTATTTTTAAATATATTTTGTATTTTTCTGGGAAGACCTTGATTAAGTCTAACTTCCATAAAGTATTTCTTATCTAATAGAGATTACAGGGAATATGGCACCAAAAGGGAGTTGGGGAGCGTTTGGGGAACATCTGTAACGGTCCCCGTTACAATTAGCACTAGTTAATCTTTAAATGGATGCTTGTCTACTCATTGCTACCAAGAGATGAATGGGTCTGCACTATCTACCATAATTTTTTTTTTAAACATATAAAATATTCAAAGATTTTTTTGAGTTGAGATTTAATGTCCGACAGGTTTTAATATTTAATTCATATGGACATGCTGATTCCACCCCACCCTATATTTAAAAATTAGTTTTTAAATTAATAATATTATATAATATCAGACAAGTCTATTATGCAATATCAAATTAGTTTTAATTACTTTTCATCAAATTCATTTTAAAACTTAGGCTAGCCAACGAGAGCTATTTTTAATCCAACAGGCTTACCCATCTGCCCAATACCCAAGGGATATAGATAACACCAATGCTCTATCAGTTAGATCCTCACACTCAAAACTCATTAATTTCCCTCTAATTTGACATGCAAATTTCTTTTATCAAAATTCTTCTTGGCCAGTGCTTGATAATTACACTCAAGGGAGAGGTAGGATTTCTCTAACATACATTATATTTGTTATAGATTGCTGTCAAGTATATGCTTAAAAAAGTAAGTATTTTCTTGATTTAACACTTTTTTAATAAGGACAGTGCAATACTCTTACATTATTTGGGATGCTTAAATGAATAGTAAAAAGACACATTTTTTTTTTAAATTTCACTTAAATTAAAGGTCACAGTGACCTTGAAATAGGTCGCGACACACCTTCTACCTAAGATGCATAAACTGGCCAAGTTTGATGATTGTAAGTCTTATAGTTTTCTAGTTATGGGCCGGAAAGGATTTTTCCATATTTGGCTATAACTTTTTAATAAAAGGTCAGAGCGACCTACTTTTTGTGCGCGACACACCTTCTACCCAAGATGCATCAGATGACAAAGTTTGATAATCCTAGTCCTAATAGTGTTAAAGTTATGAGCCGGAAACGAAAAAGCTAACAGACAGATGGACAGACGGATGGACACAAAGCCTATAACATAATACGTCCCGTCTTAAGACGGGCGTATAAAAATCAAGATGAGTTTGTGAAACACTGCCTTTGTTAAAAGCTTATGGAAAATATTGAAGTTTCTCAAATGCAAGTCGAACTCCAAGGTCAAGGCCAGAAAGCCTAGCGCAATGTCTATTCACAAGGAATACAACTGTTAAATATGAAAACCCTAGTACTAACTGTTCAAGGTATTGCCAAGGTTAAAGTTTGTTATAAAGTGGATCAAATTCAAAGGTAAAAAATATTTGTACCAATTGAAAGGTCTTGTCATAATGAATATACATGAAGGATGAGAGCCACAGAACCAACTGTTCAAAAGTTATGGCTAAGATTAAAGTTTGGTATTTTTTGTAAAAGTGGGTCAAACTCCAAAGTCAAGAAATCAAATCTGGCAGTACCCCAAAAAGGTCTTGTTATGAGGAATACACCTGTGAAATACAAAAGCCATAGACCAACCCACTCAATAGTTACGGGCAAGGTTTAAGTTTTTGCAGACAAACAAATACTCAGTAGACAGATGGACAGGTGGGGGAAAACCATATACCCCTGAATCTTCAATTACAGGGGCATAAAAGATTAGGGGACATTAAATCTCATAGTATACTTCATATGCATTTTCCTTTCATAACCTTTTTTCTTCCTATAGTATTCAAAGACTCATTCTATTGGCTCTTTATATACACAATACATGTACAAATGAATTACTTTTAGTTGACATCTCTATCTCTAGGTGTGGTTTTTAATAAATATAACAAATAGTATTAACTAAAAAAACAAGCAGAACATTCATCCATATTTATTTAAAATCTTACAAAATAATGGCAGGATAAGAAAATGAAATTGAAAATATCCCCCACCTCCCCACAAAAATGATGATACTGGTGATGAACTTGATAAATGAAGACTGTCTGTCACCTTTGTAGTCAACTGTTCTTACTCAAAAACATCAAAAAACATTTATACAAAGTACATCCAATCAATTTTCCTTACACAATCTACAAGTCTGTTATATCTTGATGCAACCCATAATATCAAATCAACTTTTTCTGACTCCAGACTTATACTAATGCTGAGAGCCATTTCTCCACTTCCATGAGCCCAGATTGGTCCTTATCAGAAGTGTCTACTGCACTACATTCTACAAACTGAACTTTCATTGGTTTCAGATCTGAGAATTCAAAGTCCTTGTTGCGCCTGCCGAGGTAAGTATTGTTGTTTCCTGTGGTGCCCTCTAGTTGCTGGAGAGCAGCTGAGCGTGTCACTCTCAGAGTGTTCCTGCAATACAGTAAAACTTATCTAAGCTAGATGTTGTGTATTCTGAAATTCTCTTTATTAAGCTGTGAACTTAAAGTCTTTTTCAGTAATTTCAATTGTTTAAAATGTTAAATATTGCAGAATGTTGTCTAGTCCAGCCAATTTCTTTGGAACCAGTCAACCATTGGAGTTAATTATACTGAAATTCACATTTCAACCCCCCTTTCCTGTTTGGAAGGAGTAGGGAGTAATAATGATGATTAATGATTATAATAAAAGCAAATAATACATTAAGTCACAAACTTAAAGCAAACAATAATGATTCTGACAATGTGTTAAATGAAGGGCTTACATTTCTTTTTGCAGCTGTTTCTCTATAAAGCCAGCTCCTTTGACTAGATGTTGATCCTGCTTGTTACACGCAATCAGAACGGGAGGGGCATGATCCAGAATCACAGGGTCACTCAGCACTGTGTACAGGAATCTGCAACAAGAACTTATGCTCAGTAATTTGAATATAAAATAATATCTTCTTGTGCAGTATGCACTTGTAATTAGTAATTTTTTTTCACAAAACATGAAATACATGTATAAATGTACATGATGCAGAAGAATACATGTAATATTGTGTAAGTTGAATTTTCAGCAAGTCACAAATTTAGCAATTTGTCCTTAAAAAATAGTACATAATTTTAGGTGGCAGTAATTTTAGTGATATTGTAATACATGTACCAAACTTAGAAATCTAATGCTTATCTACAGTAATAATGGAGGGAACAAGAGGCCCAGGGGCCACATCACTCACTTGAATACTGTTGCCAGGAAAAAAGCAAAAACCAGTTTAGTATTCAAAAGCTTCAATTCATAAGTGGTCCTAATCTACCCCTAAAAGGCAGATGGGGTAAGGGAGAGAGGATAAGATTAAAACAAACTTGAATCTACACTATCTGAGGATGCTTCCATATAAATATGACAAAACATGGCTTTCTTGTTCTTGAGAAAAAGATTTTTAAAGATTTTACCTATATTTTCCTATGATAAACTTTGATCATCCATTGTGGTCCCATCCTACCCCTGGGGGTCATGATTTGAACAAATTTGAATCTACACCTACTGAGGACATGACCAATCATGGCTTTGCTGTTCTTGAGAAGATTTTTAAAGATTTTTCCTATATATTTTTATGTAAACATTTGATAGTCCATTTCGGCCCCACCCTAACCCCAGGGTTCATGATTTGAACAAACTTGAATCTACAGTACCTGAGGATGATTCCACATGAGTTTCATCTTTCCTGGCTAATGGTTCTTGAGAAAGAAGATTTTGAAAAGATGCCATGAATTTTTCATTTATTCATAATTATCTCCCCTTGGAAGAGGGTGTGGCCCTTCATTTGAACAAACTTGAATCCCCTTTACCCAAGGATACTTTGTGGCAAGTTTGGTTGATATTAGCCTAGTGGTTCTTGAGGAGAAGATGAAAATGTGAAAAAACACCAACAACAATGACAGACAATGGACAAATTTCGATCAAAAAGCTCACTTGAGCCTTTTGCTCAGGTGAGCTTATAATTAGCAATATTCGTTTTTAACAATGCTAAAATATTGCTAAAACTTCAACTTATACAGTATAATCCAAAATTCATTTCCATCTATGGCAAGAAATCCATGTACTGTACATATTCCTATAAGATATTCATCAATGGGACATTTACCTTATATTAAAATGAATAATTTTGTAAATGTTATCAAGTCAAGATTACATTGTTCTTAAGGCCAGAAAAGATTACTTGAGCTAATTTGATCTTTCAGTTCAAGTGAACTAGGAAAAGAATTTTAAAATGAAAATAAATTCACACAATTTTTACTTATGTATGTATTTATTTTTTGCTTCAGGAAAATTAATGATGAAAAACATTAATTCTAACACTCTGTCAAATGTAAAGTCTTTAAGTTCAGTCACTGTGGTACAAAATTTATCAGGAAGGTGGAGATTTTTGACATAGGCACAGATTGATTAGATGATTGGATGGGATAAAAATAATATGCCCCCCCAACAATCTTTCATCTTGAAATTCATGAAAAAAAAGAGTGCTTGTACATGTACTTACTCTGCCACTTCTTTGATATCTTTCTGTAGAGAAGTACTGTCAATCACATACACAATACCCCTGAAAAAAAAGTCAAAAGTTTGAAAGTGCCTTCTGTAGAAAATATTTATAAAGTGTTAATATCCCTTTAGATATACCGGTAAGATATTCCACAAACATATTGTTCACATATAGCATAGACAAGTGGGCAGAAAAGACTTCTACACTTACATTTTTATCATATGCGAAAAGTGCATGAAATATGTAAACGTGGACTTGTAGAGAAAAACATTTTTTGTGTAAAATATACATGTAGTCATGTACATGTAAGTCATCGAGCATACGTATACATTATGTATATTCATGTCTTCCAAAAGTCCAAATTTCTGAAAGGACTTTCGAGCATGAAAAAAATCACATCCATATTCAAAGTCAATTTACACACACATAATCAATATAAGGAAATACATGAAACTATATTTTTAATTTCCAAGGTTTCAGGGCAATTAAGGCTCTAAAATTTGCAACATGATGGAGAGATCTCATCACTGACAAAGAAAAGGCCTCAAGGAATTTTAAATAAACATGCTGTTTCTCAATTCTCTTGTTTCTCAAGTTGCACAAACTTTTGTCGTGGGCAAACAAATTTGCATGACTGTAACGATGCCTTGCTAGATGTGTAAAGATTTTTCAAAAAATTAAAATTTAGATACAACTGTATTTGATAAATCTCTTTCAAAACTACTTATAAAGTATTTACAGCAAAGTGAAACAACCAAACGTGTAAAATTTTTCAGCCCACAAAATGAATTTTTAAAGATAAATAGTTTCTCGGGTCATTTTTTCCGGGGTTAACAACTTTAATTCGCAGTCAGCCCTCCATGTCTAGCTTACTTTACGGTGAGTTTCAAACACATAAAGCTGAATAATGGCTGGGAGATTTTGAAACATAAATATGTTAAGGCTAAGGCACACTCTGGGATGTTGACAAAATGTCAATAACCACAAAAGTTAGGATCATTATAAAGAAACCAGAAGTCTCTGTCGAGACTGAAGCTCTACTGGTTTGTACTTATAGCAAAGGAAAAGAAAGGTTCTTAAGCAGTTGGGAACTGAAACTTTACCACAGCAATAAAAAGAATAATGATCCTTGATTAAGTCTCTTTATGTTCTTAGTGTAGTCTACTTGCATGCCACATTATATTATAATCAGATTTAAACTGTATTTCGAGTAGCATTTTGAGAGTTTTTAACAGAAATTTCTATTTTTAGCAACAATGGCAACACCGTTCATCGAAATCAAAAACCGATAAATAGAATTATGTATCTTAGTGTAGTGTACTTGTGTGCCAAGTTATATTGAAATCAGACCAAAACTGTAAGCGGAGTAGCATTTTGAAAGAATTTCACAAATTTCTATTTTTAGTAACAACAGCAACACTGTTCATTGAAATCAAAAACAAATATACAGAATTATGTATCTTAGTGTAGTCTACTTGTGTGCCAAGTTATATTGAAATCAGACCAAAACTGTAGGAGGAGTAGCATTTTGAAAGAATTTCACAGAAATTTCTATTTTTAGTAACAACGGCAACACCGTTCATCGAAATCAAAAACAGATACACAGAAATATGTATCTTAGTGTAGTGTACTTGTGTACCAAGTTATATTGAAATCAGACCAAAACTGTAGGAGGAGTAGCATTTTGAAAGAATTTCACAGAAATTTCTATTTTTAGTAACAACGGCAACACCGTTCATCGAAATCAAAAACAGATACACAGAAATATGTATCTTAGTGTAGTGTACTTGTGTACCAAGTTATATTGAAATCAGACCAAAACTGTAGGAGGAGTAGCATTTTGAAAGAATTTCACAGAAATTTCTATTTTTAGTAACAACGGCAACACCGTTCATCGAAATCAAAAACCGATACACAGAAATATGTACCTTAGTGTAGTCTACTTGTGTGCCAAGTTATATTGAAATCAGACCAAAACTGTAAGAGAAGTAGCATTTTGAAAGAATTTCACAGAATTTTCTATTTTTAGTTACAACGGCAACACCGTTCATCGAAATCAAAAACCGATACAACGAATTATGTATCTTAGTGTAGTCTACATGTGTGCCAAGTTATATTGAAATCAGACTTAAACTGTAGGAGGAGTAGCATTTTGAAAGAATTTCACAGAAATTTCTATTTTTAGTAACAACGGCAACACCGTTCATCGAAATCAAAAACAGATATACAGAAATATGTATCTTAGTGTAGTGTACTTGTGTACCAAGTTATATTGAAATCAGACCAAAACTGTAGGAGGAGTAGCATTTTGAAAGAATTTCACAGAAATTTCTATTTTTAGTAACAACGGCAACACCGTTCATCAAAATCAAAAACCGATACACAGAAATATGTATCTTAGTGTAGTCTACTTGTGTGCCAAGTTATATTGAAATCAGACCAAAACTGTAGGAGGAGTAGCATTTTGAAAAATTGTTTACAGACAGACAGACAGACAGACGGACGGACGACGGACGCATTACTATCGCATAAGCTCTTCTGGTCTCTGACCAGTAGAGCTAAAAATGTGGATAATTATTTAAAACAAGAGGCCCATGGGCCACATTGCTTACCTGAGCACTGTGGCTGGGGAAAAAATAGAAATTGGTTTATTATTGAATAGTTTATAACCAAAAGTAGTCTAATGACCAATCATGGCTTTGCTATTCTTGATAAGATGATTTTTAAAGAATTTTCTTATATATGTCTACGTAAAACTTTGATTGGCCATTGTGGCCCTGCCCTACCCCCTGGGGTCATGATTTGAACAAACATGAATCTACACTGCCTGAGGATGCTTCCATTTAAGTATGATCAATTATTTCTTTGTTATTCTTGAGAAGAAGATTTTTAAAGAATTTTCTAATATATTTCTATGTAAAAATTTGGACGGCCATTGTGGCCCCGCCCTAACCCCGGGGGTCATGATTTGAACAAACTTGAATCTACACTACCTGAGGATGCTTCCACTTAAGTATGATCAATTATTTCTTTGTTATTCTTGAAAAGAAGATTTTTAAAGAATTTTCCTATATATTTCTATGTAAAACTTTGGTCGGTCATTGTGGCCCCGCCCTACCCCTGGGGGGTCATGATTTGAACAAACATGAATCTACACTACCTGAGCATGCTTCCATATAAATATGATGAATTATGGCTTTGTCATTCTTGAGAAAAAGATTTTTAAAGAATTTTCCTATACATTTCTATGTAAAACTTTGGTCGGCCATTGTGGCCCCGCCCTACCCCCGGGGGTCATGATTTGAACAAACATGAATCTACACTACCTGAGGATGCTTCCATATAAATATGATCAATTATGGCTTTGTTATTCTTGAAAAGAAGATTTTTAAAGAATTTTCCTATATATTTCTATGTAAAACTTTGGTTGGCCATTTTGGCCCCGCCCTACCCCTGGGGGTCATGATCTGAACAAACTTGAATCTTCTCTACCTGAGAATGTTTCCCCATAAGTTCGATCTTTCCTGGCAGAGGGGTTCTTGAGAATAAGATTTTTAAAAGATACCACCAAATTTTCATTAATTCCCAATTATCTCCCCTTGAATGAGGGCGTGACCCTTCATTTGAACAAACTTGAATCCCCTTCACCCAAGGATGCTTTGTGGCAAGTTTGGTTGAAATTGGCCCAGCGGTTCTTGAGAAGAAGTCGAAAATGTGAAAAGTTTACAACGACGACAATGACGACAACAACGACGACGACAGACAAATTGTGATCAGAAAAGCTCACTTGAGCCTTTGGCTCAGGTGAGCTAAAAAACAGTATCAATATATAAAAACATATTATAAAATCTAATCATTCAGTCTGCTGAATTTGGTAGGGACAGAAACTTCTCTAATCATAAAAATTCTTTCTGTTTTCCTAAATGGCTACTGTAGATGTACTTTTTTCCATGGGTTCATAATTCCGCAGATTCTCAATTTTTTTTAATCCGCAGGTAGAAAATTACGCGGATTCTTTAGATTGTCACTATATGCCTTACATTTATATTATATACGCTTGGACAAATTTCCGCGGAAAATTTGTAACCGCGAACATAGCGTAAATTAATACCACACGGAAAAATGTACTTCTACAGTATATGTTCCATAGAAAAGGAAAAGCTGGGTTCAAACATGTATGTATATATAACCTGGATCAATATTCGAGTATTTCATAAGCATTTTGTCTCAATAGATTCCCTACAGAAAAAAAAAACAAATCAAAGCTAATCATTTAGCAAATTCATCTCCTGAGCCCATAATTGACAGCTTTAACTCTTAGACGCATCACAACATGTACATTATTGTACCTGCCAATTAATGGCAAATAAAATCCCCCTCATTAACTGAGATCTCTTACCTGGCCAGTCCTTTGAACTGATCCAACACCTGAAGTCTCAGTCTCTCATGGCCTGGCAGATCATAGATCTTAAGAGACTTGTTCTGTAAAGAAAGGAATCAATGTTAAAAAATATGTATATAGTATACGGTTTATCTAGGTTTAACCATTTTCCAGCACTGCAGTGTTATCATTTTTTTTGTTCAGCACCAAGTTTAAATGAAATTAGGTAATTAAAGAAGCCTGGGAAAAATACATTAGTTTACAATTATTATGATTGCAGAGTTCTAGAAAAAAAAATGCTCAATATATAAAATCTTCTTCTTCGATTTTTCTTCGTACATAAAGGTTTTACTTTGAAAATGTCAGGCATAAAGAGACAGGTCAAACACTCAATCGCATCATCTTGGGTCTTTCTGTCCGAGGTCGGAAAAACAACCTCGAATGTATCAAAATCACTGGATGTTAAAAATTTATACATCTTCCTGTTTATATAATTTTAGGATAGAAGGATTTTAGTTATTTCTGTGGTGTATAATAGGTAATATCTTTACATCAAATAAAGTTAAACCCCCATACTCCACAGATTAGATCTTGATGTTTTCTAACATTTATTTCAAAGTTTGTGAAAAGAGGGGTTGTCATGGCGTTCTACGTAACACATTCAAGATTGTTTTTCTGCTAGTCAGAAAGGCCCAAGAAGTTGTGATTAGTCAAACATTGTTTCGTCGATCAATTTTATTGACATATTGAAAAGGGAAATAACTCATTTATCTTTTAATATATTCTGTACAATATATGAAAGTTGATACATGCCCCATTTGCTATAGATGCTTCAGTTGTAGATTTTATCATAGGAAGTACGGTATCCCTCCCCCATTCTTTAACTTTATTATTTTTATACATTTCCATTTTGTTTTGTTTCCTCTGTGGTAATCTTTCAAAGTTTGTTATGTTGATTTTTTTATCATGTAAATGTGAAAATGTAAATGTAATGTGAATGTAAATTTCTGCAACAAAAAGGTCAGGGGCTTAGGAGGTCTATTATGCATGTCAATCTTTTGCATCTGTCTCTGATGCTAAGGAGGCCTAACATGCATGAAAATCTCCTGTTATTGTCCTTGTGTTTTTGTGAGTGGGCAGGGACTAATGAAATTGACATGGAAGGCCTCATATAATTTAAATCTATAAGTCTCGATCTTAAAAATCTAAATTTACAATTTTATTTCACAATGAAATGGAAATATAAGGAATCAGTGTCCAGTTTAGTAGAGTATGCCAGGGACATCAACGAAACATGGGTTTCGAAGCCCATTCTGCATAAATTATCCCATGTTTCCAACTATCGTTGATGACATACTCTACTATGTTGATAGTGATTCCTTAAATAAATGAATTCCATTTCCTAACATATACCATTTTAGCAAGGGGTAGGGTTATCTACAGGAGTATTTTTAAGGGGGTTCTAAGATCATCTTTATCTTATTTACCTGGATACTCTTTGAAAAAATCTAAAATCCAGGAAATATTATCAATATATCTTTGTGGGGTAGTAAAACTTTAAAATTCTGGGGCAGTTGGGGACTATGGTTTAACCATGATCTTTGCAATCATCAGCAAACATAAATTTGACAGTAACAAAATTTGATGATTCTGTCAAACAGTATGACACATTTACTTTTTTCTTTAAAAAAATTTCCAAGACATTTCATATGATATCTGTAAATATTCCATGTGATAATTGATAATTGATCAAACACATAATGATATAGTTCAAGTTGTACATGTAATATAAATTGTACTTGAACATTAATTAATGAATTCAATAAAGCAGAGTTACCTTTCCTGGCACAGAATAATCTCCACTGTTGGGGGATATTGATGTTACAGTATGTATTGGTTTTTCACTTCTGTGAACGAGCTACAAAAGAAAATAATTACCGGTATATACTAAATAATAATCAAGAATTTACGAAAGGAATTCAATTTTCACTATTCACAATTTACGATGTGATTGATCACAGTTAATTAAAATTGGAAAAAGGATTGATAGTAGAACTGTATTCTTTTAATAGCCTAGGTAAAAAAATTATTTCAACTCTATTCTGCACTAATACATTCCCAAAATCTATTACCCTATGAAATATGAGGGTTTTTCCTGTGTCACACATTCCCAGTAGTAGTACACCCTGGCGTTTGTTGCTTTTGCCACCCAGAAGAAATATCACTGAAAGTATGCAAAATAAGTTCAATCTAGATAAAAACACAAGTATGTACAGTAAAACATTCATATAGTGATTAGTGAACAAGCTTATAATGAATTACGTTTGTAACAAAGTCACTTAGTGACTTTCATTCCCTGTGACTTTAAAATATATTGTAAACTTAACTGATACATAACAAATTTCACTTATAACAAAGCCCATCCCTGGACTTCTTTATAAGTGTAATTACTAATACAGTAAATCTATAATAATTTTATCTAAAACTATAAATTTGAACACTTGTTGAAAAATTATCATAAAATGATAAACAGATATATTAGATCATTGGTAGCAGTATTTAACATTATATGAAACTTTTAAATTATTACATACTGTACTCCGTTATTACTGATTAATTTGTGGAGTGTCCAGTAAAACGCTGGTTTCCAAATAATTTTTATGCTTAGGTGATTTTTCAAACGTGTATTTATAGTCAAACCCGTACATGATGACTCCAATTTGGATAATTCACCTTTCACAGATTTCAACTAAGTTCTTTAAAAATACCTCCAAGTGTCACATGTCTGTGGCGGCATCTCATAGAAATCATTAAAAAGAGGTCATTATAACTCAGTTTTTCAAACTGTATACCCCCCCCCCCCAGCAACCATTTCTTTGATTTGTGTTACCCAAATTATATAAACAATGAAAACTAATAAAAAAAAATTCAATCCTATTTTGTGAAGAACTACTAACAAGATCGAGTCTAACGGTACATAAAAATTAAGGAAATTTGTTAGTCTATACATTTCTAAACAGTATAACATTAATATTTAACGTATTTATTACGTAAAATATGGTTTATCCTAGGGGTGGGACGATATACCGATACGTACCGATATTTTCCTCTAAGATACGGTTTACGATACAAGCATCCAAATATCGGTACGAAATGATACACGAACGACCTATCCAAAAATTGAAAATGAAAGTACTGTCCTTGGAAAATGGCGGCTTGTACGAAGCGAGAAGATGTTGATATTTAAAACACACTGTAGAACTAATAAGTCGTTGATTAGGGGTAAAACGTTTTTACTTTTAAGCAGCCTTGGATGTAAAGCGCGCTAAACGCAGAAAGAATCGTTTCCAGAGTATTTGATGCAATTAAATATCAAGATACGTATCGTATCGTGCTAATATATCGAGATACGTATCGTATCGCAAGATCTGTGTATCGTCCCACCCCTCGTTTATCCGAGTATCAGCATAGCTGTGTTTTACTATCTAATACATGCACTTGCATTCTTTGATGGTTAACTTGGTACTCTTATACAACACTACAATATTGCAATATTATTTAATAAAAATAATTAATCTAATTATATCGGATTATCCTCCTCTCCTTCGGAGCGAGTGTACTTAAGTGTACTCTGTTTATTAGATCGCTAATTTTCCTGAATTCAAATTAAAATGAAATAAATTTGTAAGGTTGAGTAGATCAGAGACGATTTTTCAACAGCTGAGGTCAGATGTGCACATGTAGTCTTTCCTATATTGTAAATATATTCTGGTTTCTTTATCAGGCTAGCCAATTTCCAAGAACTTTGGATAAAAGATGTTTTAAATGGTAAGGTAAAGAAATACTTCCTTGACCAAACATTTTAATTTCATCTGTCCATATGTTCATTGTGGATCTCCGTCTAGTAGATATATAGTGAAAAAACAAGAAGAACTGTTATTTACAATAGACTTACGTATAGTTAAGACTACTACAGATACAGCAACTAAGATTCCCATCGCTGAAGGATCCCCATTTTTTATTCCTTCAACGGTATTGCTGAAAATACTTGACAGGTCCATCGTGTGAAGACAACGTGCGTTGCGTCAGAGTGGATCGTCGACAACATTGAGACTTCCGGTTTCTATTAAAAGGATTCCTAGCCCGATATTTTTCAGAACGGAAGGATCAAGTTCTCTTTAATATTTGTAATTTATAAATCAGGGTCAACATTTCGTGTTTTGTGTCTGGTTTTGAGTGAAACTACGTAAAATAATTATTTTAATATGAAATTTATTTGTAACCTAAACGCATTCATCGTAATCATAGTAAATTAAATGTTTTGAAGGAAAAAAAAATAAGATACATGTATATCGTTTTAAAAAATGTTTTCCTTACATAAAAGAAAAAATCACGGGTAAAAACTACAAATCAATAATAATATTTATCTTAAGTTTTTTAATCTTCAATCAAAGAAATCACTTGATTAAAAAAGTCTAAATATTGAAATAAAAAAAATTATTAATCCACCTTTCCGTCGTGCATGTATCAAAGTTTACATGGGTTATCAAATCCAATAATTCTGTTCATTTTAAAACATGCTTTTCTAGCCTTTTCAATAAGCACAGCTGTTGCTAAATTAAACTTCCTATTACATTTCATCATAATACTTAAATAACAGTACATGTATCTTGGTACAATTTGAATTGCATTATATGGAATGCCATATACGACAGCCAACTGCTTACTGCCAACTGTCAGCAGCTTACTGCTAACTGCAACACATATTTGAATAATTTTTATTTTTATATTGATATTTATGTAAATTTAAAAAAAAAAAGGCGTTATGGAATGCCATATACGACAGCCAACTGCTGACTGCTTACTGCCAACTGTCAGCTGCTTACTGCCAACTGCCACACATATTTGAATAAATTTTATTTTCATATTGATATTTATGTAAATTTAAAAAAAAAAAGGCGCGGATCTATAGGACATTTTTTCCAAGGGGGTTATAAAAAAAAAAAAAATCCAACCCAAAATTTTCTTGACAAGAAAAAAATACGTAAATACCTTTCCTAAATGTGAAAATTTATTTCGGCCGGGGAGAGGGGGTTCTTATGCGTCATACCTTCATGGGTATGACATTTTTCATACCAACTTAACACGAATCCACATTTTCGGTTGGGGAGGGGGGGGGGGTCTAAGGTCCCTTTTAGTTGATTTATTTTATACTAGGGATGTCAAAATATTAATTTTCCTTAGTCGAACATTCGATTGCATTATTCGAACGATAGTCGACTATTCGGAGCATTGATTTTTTGTTAGAGCACAGTGTTTTTGAAAGCTTATTTACTGAAATAAATTGAAAATCGGGAATTGTAAACACACACTATCCACATCTCCGATGAAAATGTTAAATACTGTTTGTTTAATTAATGATTGCCCAAGCTATATATCAAAATGTTTTTCAGGTAAGGTTATTGTTTTAATAATTATCGGACTTTATAACTTCACGGCTATGCAAATATTTGTGTGTTCCTAAGCATTTGTTATTGCTAGAGTTTATAAATATAATTCGTACATATCAATTAAATAATTTTCATAGTCAAGTATAGCGTTGCATAATTTACTACGTACACTAACTAAAAAAGTCACTGATTGAGAAATAATTATTGCGGTATGTAATTACTGTATTTTCGACATGTACTATGTAGAAAATTATTTATATACTATGAATGTGTTTGAGCACTTAATTATGTGTTTATTCATGTTCCCATTTCGCCTTAATTTACCTGAGAGCTTACTAAAGCGAAATGGGAATGCTAAATTTTACAGTTAAGGCGAAATGGGAACAAATATCTGAGAACGAACAATATACAGATGTATAGTTTGAGGATGGACCCTTTTAAGTTTTTCAATTTTGAGATGAAAATTTCATTATCCCCCCCCTTTTCTTGCATTTATTTAATATTCGAATGTTGTTTCATTATTCGATCGTCGGTCCGTTGACTGACAGTCGAATAGTCGACTATTCGTTGACATCCCTATTTTATACATTAAATAACTTTTAGTTGGTTTAGTTTGTGCATTAAATAACTTTACAAATTTCAGAGGGGTGTTCCGGACCCCTCTCTCTAGATCTATGCATGTAAATCATATTTTATTTGTACAAACAAAGAGATATAATTGTTTGATCGGCGTTTTCTACGTGGAGGGTCCAAGGTCAGTTATACCGATAGTTCGTTTAGTTTATTTAACGAATTACTGAACAATTTTTAAATGCCCCCCCCCCCGATCTATGCATGTGAAACATTACAGGGACGTAGCAACAAGGGGGGGGGGGGGGGCTTCTTACCATAGTATAATGATATGAATGATATGTAGTATTGTGTGGAAAAAAATGTAAGTGAAAGGTAGTTGGACTTAAAATAAAGTTAGCCACCTACACCCCCCCCCCCCCCCCCGAAGAAATAGGATTTTCGAGTTTGGGTTATTTCCTTTTCTTTTTTTTTTTTTGCTTGTCAACTTTTTCAGGTAAGTAAAAAGAGTTTTCCCTGGTTGCCCCCCCCCCACTTTCAATAACGATGCTACGTGCCTGCATTATAACACACAGAGATATACATCTTTAATTTGAGGAAATTTTTAACTATAGAATATAATGGAAAACGGAAATTTATTTTCAAAACATCTTTCTCTGCGAAACGACAAATCTTTTTTATTATTATTCTCTCTTCAACGGTTTTGTTGTCTCCGGGGGAAGGGGGGGGCTTCTTTAAAGATTAAAAGCAGAAAATAGTCATTTTTATTACCTATTTCAAATGGGAAAACAAATAAAAAAAAAATTAACAATGTACTTTATCAACCGCATATTTTGAATATACATGTACATAAGATAAAACATATTGGTCATTTCATTCAATTCAATTTTACCAGGGTGACCCCCTTGGAAAAAATGTCCCGGACCCGTGCCCTTTTTTCCCCTTTTTGTGAAAATTCATGTAAATATCAATACAAATATAAAATTTATTCAAATATGTGTGGCAGTTGGCAGTAAGCAGCTGACAGTTGGCAGTAAGCAGTCAGCAGTTGGCAGTAAGCAGTTGGCTGTCGTATATGGCATTCCATAAGGCGCGGGTCCAGGACATTTTTTCCAAGAGGGTCATCCTGGTAAAATTAAATTGATTAAATGACCAATATGTTATTCTATTTAATATTTATTCAATATATGCGATTGATAAAGTACATTTTTTATTTGTTTTCTTATTTGAAATAGGTAATAAAATGACTATTTTCTGCTTTTAATCTTTAAAGAAGTACACCCTCCCCCAACCCCCGGAGACAACAAAACCTTTGAAGAGGGAAAAATGAAAAAAAAAAATGTTGCTTTGCAGGGAAAGATGTTTTAAAAATAAGTTTACATTTTCCATTATATTCTACAGCTAAAACTTTCCTCAAATTAAAGATGCATATCTCTGTGTGTTACAATGTTTCACATGCACATATCTTGGGGGTGGGGTGGGAGGGGGGGGCATTTAAAATTTGTACAGTCATGGGTTAATGTATAAACTAAACGAACTAAAACTAAAGAACCTCCACGTAGAAAAATCAAACATTTATATCTCTTTGTTTTTACAAATAAGATATGTTTTCCATGCATAAAGAGAGAACCACCCCTCTGAAATTTGTAAAGTTATTTAATGCACAAACTAAACCAACTAAGAGTTGTTCAATGTATAAAATAAATCAACTTAAAGGGACCTTAGAACTTCCCCCCTCCCTCCCTCCCCCCGAAAACGCGGTTTCGTGTTAAGTTGGTATAAAAATGTCATAGACATGAAGGTATGACGCATGAGAACCCCCTCTCCCCGGCCGAAATAAATTTTCAAATTAAGGAAAGGACTTAAGTTTACGTTTTTTTTTCTTGTCAAGAAATATCTGAAGTTGGATATTTTTTTAACATCAGTGACCCTCTTGGAAAAAATTTTCTAGATCCGCGCCTGTTTTTTTTTTTCTTTCTTTTTTTTTTTTGAAAATTCACATAAATATCAATATAAAAATAAAATTTATTCAAATATGTGTGGCAGTTAGCAGTAAGCTGCTGACAGTTGGCAGTAAGCAGTCAGCAGTTGGCATTAAGCAGTTGGCTGTCGTATATGGCATTCCATAACATTACCATTAAAACTAAATTCATTTCCTTGAGGCTTGCCAATTGAGTTAAATATCATAACTTTAGTTGAATTAAATATACTAAAGTACACTGATCGAAGTTAATAGAAGAAACTAAAAGTACCTTGTACATGTTTTATATATAAGAAGTGTGTATTTTTTTTCAAAAAGCCTGGGTACCAAATGATTCTAATGTCTAAATTAATATGTCTGTTTATTAAATGTATATTGTATGTGTTTTTATTTGCATTTCCTGACAAAAACAGATTTACTACTTTCCCAATACAATTTGATTAACTTAAAATTAATTTTGAAGAATAATCGTGGATAAAAACACATGATTGAGAATTCGGAGAGATTATTGAGAGCATTTTCAATTAGTAAATGTACGATTTTCTGAACTTGAGTACCTTAAATCATTATTTATTTTATTTCATTATTTATTTATTTATTACTTTTTTTTTTTTTTTTTTTACAAAATCCAGACGTAAAAAATGCATACACACCATCAACTGCAAAAAAAATATTTCAATTCAAAATTAAGTGCGTAAAGCAAAGTCCCATTTTACACTGATAATCTAGTATGTACATGTATATCCCAAGACGCAACACTAAGCAATTATGATAGTCTATTCACTCATCAAGAAAAAAAATCAAGTGGTATGCATCCCGAGAAGTAGTACCCATGCCGCAAATTTGGTCAACATACGGCAAATATTTACCTTTGAATGAACCTACTCCAGAAAATATTTAACTTGGTCCCTCATTCAGAAATAAAGGTGAGATCCAGCATCCAAAGCAAGTCAGGTAATCATTGTGCATCCTTAGATCGATGTATCATCCATGCAAGTTTGGTCATCAAAGGGCTTATTGTTACTTTAGAATGAACTTGCTCTAAAACCAAATCTGGTCTCTCATCCGGAAAATATAAGTCAGGTCCAGCAACCGAAACAAGTCAGGTGA